TTGTTTTCTTACATGAAATACAAAGTTCCCGAAACAATGAATCCAAGAAACTTGAATAATGGACTGATTTTTCAAACTGAGTTATCTTTTCTTTCAGCAATTTTTCAAATTCTGTGAATTCTTCTTTGGAGGATGGACACATGGCATCAATTCCTGCGACAGTAGTAACACCTGCAAAAACAAGAACATATGAAGTCAAAAAGTAAGAGTTATTACAGTACAGCACATATTCAATTTATCTACTCTAATATATCATTAGATACCCACATTTAAGAGGATTTTGGACACCTGAGCTCAAGTCATCCTTACAAACATTCACAAAACAGTAAGAAGTTAAATCCCAGAATATGAGGTCATCTCCTACCAAAAGCATCTTTTGTTAGCTCCAAGTCTGCATCTTCCTGTAGCTTCTTGACTCTTAATTTCTCTGCGAGTTGTTCCTCTGGAGTAAGTTCTTCAGGCTAGAACAACACAAACCAAATGTAAAGTCACATTTTAAAAAGCCCCCCCCCCCTCAAAAAAGATGTCCCTTTTGTTTGTTGTGCACTAATACTTACTTTCTCCTCCATCTCCTTTTTCAGTTCTTGTTGTTTCTTCCTTAGCTGATTTTCCTTCTCTTTAATCTTTTCAGTCAGCCTTTTCTTTTCAGAAACTTTTGTTTCTGGAGAAAAATTGCATGTATGACATTTAGTTTTGAAAGCAAAGTTGAAAGTTAAAATTAAAAGGACAAATATAATGTGCAACAATCATGCAAATTTAAAAACTTGCCTGTCTTTTTCGTCTCTACTTTTTTCTCCTCGTCTTCATCTTCATCATCCCAGTTATCCTGTAAACAAATAAAAGTTACACTGTTTAAAAAATTCTGAGAAATGTTATTCTGAAAAAGGTTCTAATAACTTTCTTAATAAAGTCCTTGCTGTAAAGTCAACAATTCATTCAGCACGGAAAATTGCACAATTTTCAAGATTATATAATTACAAATTTCTATGGGATATGACATTCTTTGTTAAATCTAACCAGACTCTCTTTTCCTGGTATGATTTAATAACCAGAAACTTTATTTAAGAGTTGTTTATTTCATATAAAGGGCTCTCTCTGTTGGAGCGATTGTAAATCTTAAGATGATGGTGGAAAAATTGGAAAAGTGACAATTCTAATATAAAATGTTACTGTCTGCCACTTAGTTTTCACTTTTACTGGAAAAAGTTGACACTACCCAGATAAGTACAGAGTAATAAAAACAATAGTTTTCAAACTGAATGATCATATCTGAATGTAATATGTTTTTTGATCGAGTAAATGAATGTCATCTTTCTGTCCTGAGATTACAATTGAAATTAAATATTTGTTTAAATAAACCATAAACAACTTCAGAAGTTTTCTTTTCTAGGTTCCATGTAACATTAAGCTAAAATAAACTGACAGACAATAAAAATCTAATAAAAAAAGTTTCAAGTTATGGCTTATTTTAGAAAACAAACTCTATACTTCTGAACCTTCAAGTCATTTCAAATTTCTTAATAGGTTGTTTTTATTTTGGAAATATTTCTAAAGTCACCTTTATAAATATATGGTCTTAAATTTCTTTAGCAGGTTTGTGACCATGTGCTGCTTCTTGATTATTTACTGAACAGTTGAATAGATGATTACATTTTACAAGGTTTAGTTAGTTGTTAATAAATAAATGACAAGGAGAAAGTCAAATTTAAGTAAAAAATAATGTTCCTTGCTTCAACCTACTTTAATGTTCACTTTGAATTTAAGAAAAATGTTATTGTACCAAATAAAATTAAATGAGGACGTGAGATGTACTGATTAAATAAATTAATTATTTACCAAGCAATGTAAGAGGCTACCTTAGTTTAAAGATAATCCCCATATGAACAGGAAATGGACTTTATTGCAAAAGTTGACATGAACAGATAAAAACAGATACTTTTTTATCTTGAAAATAGCTTGTGGGTGAAAATTTAAAGGAGTTTTGGTGGCAGGTTTTTACTCCCATTACGCTAAAATAGAAATGTACAATGATCTTTCAGATACTACTACAGGGATAACCACTGTAGACAAATGTTTCTCTTTACACCACAATCTGTTTTCTAAACCTAGAAAATGCTACAAGCCAGAAAAGACAACCTAGAAACACTGACGCCATATGTGACCGACAACAATTGACTCTGCCAGCTCTTTCCTAACGCTTATTGAGAAGTTTCTGGAAAGAAAACAAGCCAACATTGCTGCAAGGACCAAATGTAATCCCCCTGTGTCTGCAACTTAACATCGGCTTATATCTCTATAAAACCTAAAGGCTCCCCGTTGTTTCGTAAAGTTTCGGCCTAGTTCTTACTTCAGTTGAGTCATCAACCCACTGGATGATTTCCTCTGAGGCTAGAGTTTGTTAGCAAGCTAGCGACGCCGCATGCTGAACGTGACTCAAGCTGGAGGAATTCAAACTCAACCGGACACCCTCCTCCAAATATTTCACGGGCATAAATTTGTCAAAATAAGAAACTTTTGTCACCCCTCACTAAACATATCGAAAAACACGACATAAATCGGACTGTCAAACGTTGAATCTCACTTTTAAAAGCAAGCAAACTTAGAAGTAAGCAGAATGCTAGTGGCTAATTGGCCCGTTAAAATGCTAGCTTGTGGCTAGGCTATTCAAATCTACCCCACGAGTGTCATCACTACAGGGAACGTCCACACGAAAAATGCCTTTTAATCCGATGTGGTGTTATCGAGTGTACAAGCAGGGTGTTTTAACTCGAACAGTGGCCTCCGGCTAGCCGTGTAACAGGCTGCCTTTTAGAGCCACATGAGTTAGCCGTCGGCTAGCACAAAGCTAACCCGAGGTTGACAGGGAGAAAGGAGCCGCGCTGAAAAGCGTGGCGTAACAGCCGGGAAGATAATATTTCAATTCATCGACAAATAACCCGAAATTTCACAACAAAATGCCCCCCAATCCAATTTGATAAATGCAACGAAACCCAAACCGACTTACGCGAATCACGTTAAATTACCTTAACGTCTTCATCTTCGTCCTCGCCTTCCCATTTGTCCAGACCTGCCGCCTTTTTAATCGGCTCCTCCGGCTCGAAGTTGTCAGCGTCTGTAAAACCAACAACATGATATTCGTCAGGCCAATCCACATCTAACGACTGAGTTTCACAGCAGCAGAACGTCGGGCTGTCTAAACAAAGTCTGCTAAAGGCGGATGATGTACATATAGATGTCCTCTCTAAGTTAGTTTCTCACCCCAGTCCGCCATGTCGGCTGTGTTGGTTGTGTTTGACAGGCTCGCAGTAAAGTCAGCGCTGCAGCCCGTTGGCTGGCCACGCTCAGAAACTGCTCCCACGCTCTGGACGTCACTCCCGGATCACCTTCCCGGGTGCGCGACCCCACACTACCTCAAAAAACACACAGATAGACCCGGTGGGCACGAATAACATGGAATCTAAGACATATTACTGGGAAAAAAAATTAGAAATGATATCATTTATATATATATATATATATATATATATTATATATATATATATATATATATATATATATATATATATATATATATATATATATATATATATATAATAATGGGGGAACTGGGTTCCTGTCTAAGAAAGGAATTCGAATAATTCATTTGAATTCCTTTCAAATGAAAGGAATTCATTTGAGAGAGAGAGAGAGAGAGAGAGAGAGAGAGAGAGAGAGAGAGAGAGATGCTATTGGTATTATCCAATGCAATTTAAAAAATACTTTATTGTAACTTGATAAAGTTACAATAAAATTTGCATCTAATATTATACAGTTTACTTCAAGGAGTTATACTGATGGCTATGCTCAGGAAGGATGTCGTGTAGCATTCTAGCAGTCTATGTTACAGTGATGCATTTGATGCTGCAACACCAACAGATAATGGCAGAAGAGAATGGTATCTCTACAAATGATTTACAACATATTTGCTACAAGTTGCTGCAAGCCTTCAAGGTCCTGAGCTTCTTCAAGAAGCACAGCCTGCTCTCACCCACCTGTTAGAGCAGCCATTAGTCTGGACACATGGGGTAGAGGTCGTAAGGCATTTCCTGAATCTCCCAAGCATACTTTATGTCCTCGTGGCTGCAACATCTTAACCATTGTCTTTTATCTGACTATATTTGTCTTTAGAAGGCAAACATGTTTAAGCCATAGCCTTCTTCTTTGGCTTCTTGTCATCGTATGTCAATATAAACCTCCCTTGGTTGTGGACAGTGACAATATTAGCCTTTGTTGCTCTTGTGTTTGTTCATGAACATCCGCATAAATATCTTTCCACTTGACGAGGACATTTTGTGTCTTCTTCCAGTCCTTTGGAAATAGGTGACACTTCTTAATAATCTTACCTTACAAACTGATGATTATGGATTCATAAGATAGTTATAGCAAATGGATCTGAAATACTTTCAAAATCTGATCTGAAATACTTTAATGGTCACGGAGATATTTGATCTTTCCCAATGTTCTTGGTTTGTCCATCACTGTCAGAGAAACTACCAGCAGCAGTCAAACATCAACACTAATAATAAAAGGATAAATGTGAAAAGATTGTTTGGTAGTTTTAGCATTACTTATTTAGAAAAATCAGCAAATGTATTTATGCATTGTTAGTTGAATATTTTGTGGATTAGAGTAACATTCTCTTAATTTAAACTTTTGTACCCAGTTGAATGAAAAAATGAATAAGGTTGCATGTTTTATGATCATTGAACGTTGTATGAGGACAGCTCATATATCTAATAAAAACATTTAGGAGGATCACACAGATAAATAAAGGAATGAATATCAGGTTTGTAGCTTGGCAATGAAACAAAAAAAGTGTGGAATTACGTAGAGAATAAATAAATACGCATAGTTCAGGATGAATTTAGCCTTTAATATTCACAATGTAAAGAGTCCACAACAATGCAAAGCGCACTGCAATATTAGAATAAGTGTGTGTGTGTATATATATATATATATATATATTCTGCCTCAAATCTGTAGGTTTGAGGCAGAAGTTGTTTTAATACATTGCGTATAGAGAATAATAAATTAGGGCAGCATGGATTCAATTAGGCTTATAAAAAAATAAATACTGTCTACATATTTTTGTCTGCCACGAGTTAATCTATAAAGCTATGGATAGCAAACTGATTGATTGCTGCTGAAAACACATTGTGATTTCAATAATTGACATGTTTCAAAGTACAGAATTGCAAATGAGATGTGTTTTTATTGTTGTGCTGGAGCTTCTGATCCAGTAGAGTGAGCAGGTTCATGTGTCGGGTCAGAGCAGGATGGCCAGCACCATCAGCAGTCCCAGTATGATGCACAGAAGGCTGTGGCTCTGTGCCAGCCCTGCTGACAAATCTAGGGGAGCACAATGAAACAAATGTAAAGCAATGCAAAAGCGATATAAAGTTAGCGTTTTTTCATCAGCAAAAGGCTGAGTGCTATCTCAGATGTAAAACCCCTAAACAAACATATTCCTATGAAATTGGTATCAGATTGCAACAATTTCACATGGTTTGGCTTTGTGTTTTACCTATTTTTCTTTTCCAGCAAGTCAGCACCATGTCTATGGCTCTCTTCTGGACATCATTCAGAGCCGAGCGCTGCTGTGGAGTCAGTGCATAAGCCTGCTCATAGGTGAACATGTTGATCTGGTTCTGGTGAAATACCACCTTGGAGAAATGTCCAAATACACAAGAAAGCAGTTGAACATGACGGCAGCAGAAGACAAAATGAGAAGTTGATGGAAGACCTGCAGCAAAACTCTCGCTGTGGAAGCTCTTGATAAACATTCAACATTTAAACTTACAGAAAACTTCTTAGGTGGTATCATAGACATAGCCATGGGTGAGATTCCTTCGATTTGCTCTTTCACCAGAGATGACATGGCAAAGTCAGGAAGACCGGCTGTGGACAGTTTCAAAGACACTATGTTGGCCGTAGGTCATTTTTATATTTTTGTTTTTAGTTGATCTTATACTGTTTTATTATTGTTTTAATATAGGGCTGTTATTTGTGTGTTTGTGTTTTCATTTTACTGTCATTTTATTGGATACTGTTTACATTTTTATGCTGGTTGTTTGAAACTCTGTTATTAAAACAATGTTGCATCGGAAGTGAGGAAATCCTAAAAACAAGCCCTTTTTATTTTTTTGACCAAGAGTGGTGCATTTCTGCAGTATAAAAGTGGAGAAGCTTGATTATTTTCAGTTTGTTTCACAGATTATCTGTCTCATGCCATACATAGTGACAACTAAAACAAATATATAAAATACCAGATTCCTATTAAAACTACGAGGTACATGATACAGCTTTAAGTGCAAATATTTTATGTTTTACATGATTTGTGCTTTTTACTAAACTTTTTTTCCAATTGCTAATCATTGTTTTACCCTAATTTGTTGGAATGACCCCTGGAGAAAAAAAATCTCCCACTTTGTTTTATTTTATTTGCTTTACGAATAAATGACACATAATTTGAGCTAAGTTATCAGAAAATGAAAAGCATCAATCAAAGCTGAACACTCGAATCCAGGATTCATTACCTGCCAGCACTCCAATCTCAATGAACACATCTGTGCCCCATGAACTCATGAATCCAAACGCGAGACTGTGGGTGAGCAGCCCAACCAAAGCCCCCATCTGCTCCTCTGAGCAGGGCAGGTTGAGCTTTCCCAGCCAGAGAACCGCCTTACTGCAGCCAGCAGGGGGAGACACAACACAAGAAGACTGTCAATACAAGAGCCACGCTGAGCCGAGAAAGAGGCAGCTACCTTCTTTGTGCTACCTGATCTCACCTGAACTCCACGTTGTTGAAAGTGTTGATCTCCGCGATTTGAGCTCCACACACAATGTGGCCCAGTGCCACCAGCATACTGGAGTCAAGCTTACTTGGTGTCAGTTTGGTAGAGCTTAACACGACGGTAAACAGTGCAGCCAGCTAGAAAGATGAGCAAGACATAATGTTAGGTTAATCCTTGTCAAGACAACAGGATGTAAACAGTTGTCTGCTGCTACATTAAAAAAAAAAGATGACTTTTCTCCCATTAAGATTACTACCTCTAAATTTTGTCTTCAAAATATTTAAAAACAACGAACAATTACATTTGGTAAAACATTACAGTGCAGAAATAGGCTACCTGTCTTTTGTTCCATGTGTTGAGAGCTCCCAAAGCACTAATACTCCGCCGCTCTGTCAGTCGAAGAGTCCCCAGCTCCTCTGGTGACAGCTCTACTGCTATCCCACCCAGCTGAGCAATCACAGACTGGGAGAAGGAGGAGACGGGTCCGTATATCTTCACATAGTGCAGGGTGACCCAGAAGAAGACAGGATTGACATCAAATGTTAAAACTCATAAATGCTATTTTGCCTTTGTAGTACTGTATGTCCTCTGGTGGGTCTAACCTTTTTGACTCTTTTGAGAATCTCGATACGCTGGTAGGACTCAAGAAATGGGTCCTGGCCTATCAGCTCCAGACAGTTGGAGAAGTGCGATGAAGACATGCTGTTGAAGCTGCTGGAGGGCCAAGCAGAGGGGGCTGTGGTGTGCAAAATCTCACAGGTAGGAACAATCGGAGGCACTTAAAGACAAGAAACAAAGACAAAAGATAGTGGTCTGCAAAGTTTATGTTCATCCACTGGTTTCTCATTGTTCATAAAAACCTCAGTGAGAAATGAACCTAACAAGTTAAGCATTTTGCACACTATTGAATTTCAGTTGTCTGTCTTTGGACTTTGGTTCTGTAGATGACATGAACTTTTAGACAAAGATGAGTTGCCAAGTTTTCATTGGAAGAAAAAGCTTTTGTCTTAAAGCTCTACTCCTTTGTCCATCCGCATGGAGAATACAATGATTTAGAATAAAATCAATTCGAACCAGAAATGCCTGCAGCTCCTTACTTATTTACCTTTAAAAAATGAGACCCTTTTGAACTTTTGTAATCTCTCTACAAAGGATGGCTTTGGCTAAATGATGCTAAGGAAAAACCAGCTTCACTGTGACTTGGGTTAGATGTAAACTCAAAAAGATTGGATGCTGAAATTGAATCAAAGGGTGTTTTAACAGATATTGTTTGTCTTGCAGTCGAGTTGTATTAAAGTGAAAAAAGTTATTAAAGTGGAAAAAATAATTTATCGTGGTTTCACATCACAAAAGTCTGACATTTTAACACTTTTTACATCAACTGTACCACGTAATCACTTTATATAAACCAAAGTGATGCTCACATGACGAATAATCCATTTTAAGGAAGCCCAGGAAAAACTGCAGAACAGACTGCTGCTTGCCAAAAACATCCTTTGTTTCGTTCTTGTCGGAGCAAAGGATCCCCACGTCACTATCTTCCCACTGACGCTGGCTCATGAACAGCTTCTCTATGCGCCCCACTGTCATCAGTGACTGTGGGAACAAAAGCACAAACACAATCGTGTGTGGGTAGCTCACAGGAAAACATGGATGTCATCACCTGATCCCGAAACACGCTAGAGAACTGACACCTGAAGGATTTCTTTTCAGCCTTTGTATGCCCGACCTGCCCTGAGATCATGTTCCAGTCAAGCAAAACCCACAATGGATGTGTTACGGGAAAGAATCTGTTGCATTGAACTCACCGATGGCAAGTCCTGCAAAACTTTACTAGGCAGGAAGAAGAGAAACCGTCCCACTACAGTTAGCGTTTCCTGGTTCCAGTTCTTCACTGGCCTGTAAATAAGAACACAAATCCCTCATGAGCTCAACAGCTTACCATTCTGCAGAGGCTTTTAAATGTTAAAATTTTACATGGCAACTCATCTGCATAAGCATTACATCACTGCATGTTTCATTCACACTCAAACTAATCTTTCCCAAACTAATCTGCAAATGTTCCAGGAGGAACTGGAACATTTGCAGTTTCCCAGTTTCCAATAAGACAAAATTAAATGCACAGAACAGAAAACTTACAAATGCCACCTGAAGGGGTTAGCCTAAGTTTTGTGTAATACTGAGATTGATCAATCTAGAAATAAAATTTGATATAAAAATTTGTCTTAAATATGGACAGATGCTCTTATACTGATGCTTTAACCAGTTTTTATAAACTAGCAAGAACTACACCGTTATGGTTTTTTTTAAAATAAATTCAGAGCATGTAGACGTTACAAAAATAAAACTGGGGAAACGTCAGACTTTCCCAGACAGTTTTTCTTTTAATCACAATAACATTTAGTTAATTAACTCCAAAACACATTGCAAATGGATTTAGATTACTAACTGAGTTTGCTCAGTTAGGAAGAACTGTCTGAAATTACTCTGGAAGTTTGAGACATACGGACTGATGTTAAATCTCTAACAAATTGACGAGGTATGAAAATGGAAGCCTAAATTAATTAAAATGTTATCAGTTTGATACAGCATAACTGTTCCATGGAGGGTAAAGTAATCTTGACGATTACTGGTAATCGTCAAGAGTTCAATGAAGCTAACATCATATTTAACCCTTTGTAATACACACTGTATTGTTCTAGCAAAGAGACTAATTGAATAGTTATTAAGGCAAATTACTAAAACAATTCTTTTGAACTGAAATAGGTTGCGTTTTTCAAAATTATGAACAGCCTGGTTTCTCTTTTGTTCTCTGCACAAATGTTTTGCATTTTCAGCATTGCTCTTTGTTTCTCACAGGTTGAATAATAGTTGAGTCTCTTTTCAGTCTGTGATATCTTTACCCAAAAACAGCCGGTTCTTGAAGAATACGGGCCACAAGTTCCATCTTGCTACTGCTGTAGCAAAGTTTTTGGAGGTAATCCAGGTTTTTAGTGAAGAAGCTTCGATCCACCTGAATGAAAACTTCATCCGCCACAAATGGGGCCATAATGTCTAGAGAACGAAACTCCTCTTCAGTGAATGGCCCAGTGTACATGTTCTGCAGAGAAAAGTCAGCAACACCAGAGTGATAAAGCAGAGCACTTACATTCCTGACTGGGTGGGAATGTATATAATTCAATAAGGTTTCTGATCTTAACTCGGTGTAAGTTTGATTTACTGGTAATTGTGACCAAATGCAGGAGTTTAGGTAATGCAGTCCTTCCTACTAAAGAACTTATACATTTCTTTCAAAAACTAAAGAAATGTATAAGTTATTTGCAATTATTTTGTTGCGCATTAAAAATCCATAATTGTAACTCTTTTTTTCAGATCCAGAACTTGGATGAAGCTCTAACAACATTTCAAGAGACAAGTGTCACAGCTTACACCAGTGTGATCATATGGATGGAAACAACTACCAGTTTTGCCTTTGATTTGGGTGACAAGCCACTTTGAGAAATCATATAGTGAAACATTTTGATTTGGAGCCCACAAAAGCATCTTTAAAAAAATCATGGGATATAAGGTGGAGTGGGGGAGTTTATCTACATACCATCCTCTGAATGATTTTGTCCACAATAATCTCCTGCTGCATTCTAGTTAACATGAGAAAGTACTGAGGGGAGGCAACAATCATCTTCCTGAGAATGTCCATCTTATCTGCAGGAAACAACCTAATGATGTCCATCCTAAAAGCAACAAAATGAAAACATACATAATGTTTTCCATTTGCACAGTCTAAAAATGTGTATATATGACACATCAGTTTACTTTATTGCCCTTCAGTCAACAAAAAGTTGAAAATCTTGCTTTGCGATCTGATCTTTACATGTTTCCTGTATTGTAAACTCATTCCACTCTCTTTGTAAAAAGAAAACAACATGCAACTTCAGAAAAAATTATTTTAAGCAATGAGTATAAGAATATGAAGCACTAGAAGTAAAATTAACAGAATGTTTTTTTTTTTGACAGACATGAATTTGAGGAGTTGGAGAGAAGTTGCAGTTTTTATGACTCACGGTATGCACAAAGCAATTTCAGCTCCAAGATCTTGAAGAAGGTCAGCGAAGAACTGAAGTGGGTACACCTCCTCAATCACACACCTTTTCTGTCCACCAGGACAAAACAACACACATATATCAGACGCACTGTAAAAAATATGCTATGTGTTGGTTACGTTGTTAAAATTACCAGCGCAGTGTGAAGAAGACCGGGCTGATGCCTGAGGAGGGCCAAGATCCTCCTCACAAAAGAAGGCGACCGATCAGCCTGAAAAAGTAGCTGTAGGTCCTTGCAGCTCACACCCTGAAACAGTGTCCCCAGGCTCCTGAACACACACATATTGTTCATATTGTTCATCTTTATTGTTCGAAGAGTCGAACAATAAAGATGAGGCAACGCGCGTCACAGATGTGGCATTTAGATAAATGAAACCAGAAACATTCCTGCAACTCTTTTCTATTTATCAAAACAAAGTATGTCACATGGCAGAGACAAAAATATACTTACAGAAAATTTGGTTTGGTTTGATTTGTGTAAGTATTAACTGCCTTGACAATTGCTTGAGCCTGTGGGATAAAATGGAAAACAGGTTTTAATGCATGATCTCCTCTTTCTGTACATTTTCATAAATGTGATACGAAGATAGTGTGGCATCAAAATGCGAGTTGTTTGCATCATTTAACTGCTTAATAATCTCTATTCTGAGGAAGCACAAAGAACTCAAACATTTCTGACATTAGTGCTGCCAATCCTACAAAAAATGGAAACATTTCTGACATCTGCACAGAGAGCATGTGTCGAGCTTTGATTACAGTTGAAGCAGAATTTTATATTAAATCTCTAAAGTATTTTTATACGTTTTCAAATTCAGTGGCAGCTCTGCAATACCTGCTGTGTTTTCCAGTGTTTCGTGGTGGTGTTAGAGAGATTCTTCACAAGAAGCTGAGTTCTGGACAGGATACATATCAGAGGCGTCCATCTGAGCATAGGCTCTACATCGTCCAACCAGCTGACAACTTGAGGGAAGCCCTAAAAAAAATAAATAAATAAAATAAAATAAAATCATGTTGCGAATCACTTCTACAATTAAAGATCTAAATCTTTAATTTCTGATTTCTTTTTTTTTGTTTTGGATCTTCTTTTCAAATTGGAACTTTCAAACAGAACATGTTTGTACTGAACATAACATCAGTGTGAATAACCCCTCGCATCTTCAGTACCCATAGTTTCGTGGCAATGGCGTTTGCTTCCGGGGCACAGAGGACAGACATGTATGGTCGGCAGCGAGCGGGAGTGTGTTGAACGAAGGCCTTCATGGCAGAGAGCAGTCTGTCAGAAGTGAGGGACAGGAGGGTCTCTGTCTTTACACCAACAATGAGGGAACCGAGCTCCTCCAGCTGGTCTGGGATCCGCTGGGAAGAGGGAAGGACGGCGTGAGACTACACGTGACACCGAGCGCCTCCACTCAGCATTCTGTCTATTAAGAGTTTAAAGTAACTCACTGCGTTAGTTAGAAGTTTGTCCACTATTACGGAGGCCTTCAAAACAAAGAGAATGAATACAAGCTGCTGTTATACGAGTCCCCCACAGCTTATTTAGTTACACAGAAGGTTATCCTACCACCTTTGCAAAAATAAGTTTGTTGATACAATAAAAAATGTAAAGGTGTTCGCAACAAGAACATCTTGAGTAGTTTAAAAAAAAACCCCTCAAAGTCATATTTTTGGACTGTGGGAGTAAGCTGGAGTACCTGGAGAGAACCCACATATGCACAAGGAGAACATGCAAACTCCATGCAGAAAGATCCCAGGTCAGCATTTAAAATCAGGACTTTTTTGCAAGGTGTCAGAGCTACCAACTGCACCTCTATGCAACCCTAAATTACAACAGCTTATTTCTTTTTTTAAAATCAACACTATATCCAACTTAGATTGACCACTTTAGTATCTAAATTATTCAGTCCCCTGAATAGAAACCAAACAATGATTTCTTTGATTGCATCAGTTGTACTGATGCAATCAACTGATGCATCAGTTGATTGCATTAGTGGACTATCTCAGCTATTTGAGACAGTCCAGCTATCTCGAATAGCTGGACTGCTGTCAGTAAGGTATGGTTACTGACAGCGCTAAGGTCTTTGCCATCAGAATCTCAGTTCAGATTCTAATCTTGGCTGGCCAGAACAAAGAGGAGCCCATTTTATTTAAGGTTCTTTAATCCACAGCCACATACTGAAAGGGTCTAGTTCAACTTTACCTGTGTTGGAGTAAACGGTATGGTGCTGAGGGCAGGAAGAGCGGCGAGCAACTGGGACGCCGACAGACCATTAAGGAAAGTTATGCCCAGCGAGGGCAGGAGTGGAGCGATCTCTTCCAGTCGGACAGAACTGAGTGAGGACGGGTTCTGAAACTCTGGGTTGCTCAGAATGAGATCTGAATGCTGGACAAAGAATATGACTTGTCCTTTCTCACACATATAATAAAAAAAACAATAAGGAAAGAAGGGAATGATCCACTCCTACCAGCTGGCTGGGCATGCTGAGTCCACTAAGTGTGCAGTTCATGATAATCTCCTGGATGACCTGGAAGACCTCAGTGTTTTTGTAAACAAAGAGATCCCGTGCCTCTGCCAGGCATAAGACATTTCCCAATCTGAAATTAGAAACAATGTTTCAACACACATCAGGAAATCATGTGCCCTACAGAAAGGAAAAACATACCCACGTCATTTTAGCACTAAATACATTCAGAAAAAGTCGACTTTTTAATGAATTAATAGCAATCTTCTGAAGTGCAGCTATGGTCATTTTTTTCACTACTTTAAGATAGATGATGGATTTTTTAAAAATTATTTCTCATATAAGGTTTTCATTATAACTTTTGTTTTGTCAGTTGTTACATGATGAAATGATAATAACCACTTGTTACATAAGTTTTACATGTCTATAATATTATCTTCTGGAGGAGATAATATAAAAAAAACCAACGTGTTTTCCTGACCTGACGAGATCCTGAGCTGTCATGTTCCTGTAGGTCCCAATAAGTTTGTTGGCCATGAAAACCTGCTTTAGCGGTGAGAGGGTGTTTCTCTGCAGCACATCCAGTCCATCCAACAGCTGCAGAGAAACATAAAGCATTGAAATATTGTGAATATTGCAGTTATTACAGCTGTAATATTAACAGTGGTGTAATATACAGTGTCCACCAAAATGATTAGCATTCCTGCTGTAATAAAAAATTAAATACAGAAAATCTAGAAAATTCTAACATTTAATGTGTTTATATTTATTCATTATTTTACATTTATTGTACTAAATCACTTGAACTCTTAGAACATTTCTTAACATAATAAGGGGAAATGCTTGTAATGTGACACAGGGGCCCAATGGTTTTAGCTACTCTTTAAAATGAGAGACAAGAAAGTATACAATTTACATAAAGTATATATGTTTATAAGGTAGTAACCCACTTCCACCTTGATTTAATATGAAAATGAAAGTGTGACATAAGAATATCTTGTCAACCATCTCAATGAGGAGGAGGTTAGTGTTAGAAAATTATTGCAATTCTTCTACACATAAATACACATTTATTTTATTTATTTATTTATCTTATGCCCAAAGCTCTCTGGAGCTTTTCCACAAATCTTGAAAATGGAAAAAGATGGGAGTGGGAAATATATTTTTTGTTTAAATGTGGTTTCTGTAGGACACAATCATTTCTTAACATTTTTCTGATGCTATAAAAATGTGTAGAATAAATATTAAATGTCAACATTTCTGTCAACGAAGATTAGGGGGTTTTGTCAAAGTCCAGAAAAAAATCAACAGGATGTTGATGATTGGAAGCTCTAAACTGTGTGGCTGAATTAAAACAATTCAAATCCAAAGTTCCTCCAAGACTCACCACCAGATGTTGCAAATACTTGATGGAAATGTTGCCACCAAACACAGAACAACCAATTATTAGGTCGAGTGGACAGTTGAGTGTGTTTTTACTTTCTAAACGATTCCCATAAGAGGATTACTTCTAACAGCGACGGCAGACATTAGAAGAGTCTGTGCTTTTCTTTTGGGCGGCTGGTGAGACACGGCTTTGTTGTGCCCCACGGCTAATCGAACGGTATCGTGGGTTCTCAGATTCCCCGTCAGGGTGTCAGAGCTCAAAGGGACGTTACCTGAGCAGCCGAGAGGTGTTGGAAGAGGTGGAAAGGCAAATAGGCGATCAGGTTTCCTGTGTCCCTGATGAGTGACTGATTACCTCCAGTGATGTTGGAGGGAGATAAAATTTTGCCGTACCACAAGCCAAAGGCCTCGCGCAGGGCCAGGCTCATCCAGCCCAAGTTTGCATTTATGGTCTTCCGCCTGGAAGGAAACAAAAGAATCAGAAATGTTGTAAAAGCTTGTGAAATATTTACTATGGCCTTTATTGAAATTATTACAATATTTCACATCAAGACTCAGTTGTATAATGAATCATTTGAAAGTTTGAGGCACATTTAGAATGTATTTTTTGTTAACAGATTAATGCTTAGCTGTTTTAATGATCACATTTACTGTCATAACAGTTTGAACAGAACCAAATTGTTGCAACCTAAGCTTGCCTCATTTATATATTGCAGGTCTATTGATTTGCAGTGTTATATTCAGGCTTGATTTTCAAAAGTCCAAGAAAAGATTTCTTTCAGGGGCAGATTACAAGAAACACAGGCTTTCCAAAGATTGAAATCTAGTCAGAGAGCAAGCTTCCTTTACTTTCTATACATAATGCATGTGGCTGTCGCCTTGTGGCGCAATGAGACATTAGTTCTCGCAGACGTCTGACACCAGAGATGTGTTCAGAGAAATATAAAATGTATGTATGAAAGTAAGTGAGATTCAATTATTAAATATAACTGGACAGGGGAAAAATCCCTGTGATTTTGACATAAAGGGCTTTTGATTTCTTGGAGGAACCAGTGTTGTGTCCACACAAAATGAACCTTCTTGAAAACAATCAAGAATTTAGATTTTTTTTTTTTTTGTATTTTCCCACTCACAACCTATGATGAAGAAATTATTTATTCTCAATAGTTTCTTTTAATCTGCTAAAAACACCAAAAGCAAAATGATCCCTCTGTCATGTTTCTATTGCTTTTGTTGGATTAAACCAGAGCTTTATTGAATCCAAATAATCTCATGGACATTACCCTCAACGAAAATGAAAGTTGAAATTATTACTTACAACTTGTCATTGTTCTGTAAGGAGGGGAATGTCTTGACATCATCTGGACTGACTGCGACCAGCAGAGAACCCAGGTCAAGAAGAAGATTGCTATCTGTTGCCAGGTGGGTCTTAAGTATCACTGACACCATGGTCGACTGGTACTCTTTAGATAGCTGGTAAAATGAGCAACAACAATGCAGCTGGTGAGCATACAATACACTGAGAAGATAATGAGAAGTGGAGGAATTATAGGATTGAAAGTTCAACCACCTGTATGGTGCTCATGAAACTGTTGTAATACTGAAGGATTAGTTTGACGGTGCTGATGTGTGCAGCGGTCAGCACCGGCTTCAGGCTGCTCAAAGGCAGGTTGAGGTACTCCTGAGCAGACGGAGAACAAAACGTACACCAAGAGAGGTCAAACTCATGTGGTAAGAGATCATTGAATCATGGAGCAACGTTGATGTTGGGGATGTGTCCAACCTTGATTAAAAGGAGTTCACTGCCAGTCACATCTCTTGACATCTGCAGCAGATTGCTGAGAACGGTCTGCAGCAAAAACAGACATATTTTACAGCACTTGTGACTGGTACTCTGTTGGTTCATATTACTGTAAAAAGGTCTTGAAGATTACTTTACATTAAACATTTTTTGTGATCTGAAGGGCCACAATAAAATCTTCCACTCCAACTGAAAATTTTAAGTTTTCTTATTTTTTTCCCAAACTATTTTCAGGTCATTTCTTTTATGTGATAAAAATTAGGGGAACTTATTCAAACCTCTGTACTCTGACTGCTTTCAGAAGTCATACATCCTAAGTAGAGCCCATTTCTCTGCTTCTTTTCTAAACCTGTTGCCTGAATAAAATTCATAAAAAAGGCTGTCTCCTTTATTTCAAACCATGACGAAATGAAGCAATGTCCCCAGGTGTTTGCACAACACTAGTAACTGTTAACTTAGGTGTAACCATGTAGATAGAGATTACACCAGGCTGCAAAGACTTATCACATCAATATCAATTACAGCAACCAGACACCAGCAACAAGCTGGAGGTCAAATGTGCCTACGTAGTGATGAAAACTGATTTGATGCATCAATAATAAACTAAAAACAGAGCTACACAGAAACTATGTCAATCTACATATCTAATCTTTAGTACTACCAACCATTCAACAGGTTTCAACACAGTATTGTTATCCTCAGTCCTCAGAATCTACTACCTACCCCAAAGCACTGTAGCAACACCTTCTTCCTGTTCTGGTTGATTTCTCTCTGTAAGTAGTCAACAACAGATGTCAGAGCACTTTGTCTTATGGTGGTATTGACTTGCCAAATGGGACCCACAGAGTCCTCCACAGCCAGCAGGATCACCACACTTGCAGCAACCGCTCGATTCAACACTTCAGCCACAGGTGTAGTCAGCAGACCCTCCATCCTGGAGTTCACGCTCTTCACCCAGCAGTGCACCATCATCTGCAAAACCGTGTTCTGACTGGCACAAGGCTGACATAAGTAGTCTGGGCACATCAAGCTGAGCTGCTTGATCAGAGTTTCTGATGCACAATGATTAGGTTCTGTAGTGGTGCTGTTGATGTAGGCCTTACAAATTCTGCTCACCCAGGCTGTGGAAGGTTCCCGGGACAGAAACAAGAGGATGCCAGCGTCAGGGCAAATAAATGAGATGAAATTGGCCTGGTCTTTCTCCCAGCACTGAGCCAGGAGCGTTGCATTTGGAAAAGAAGTGATCCATCTGGAGTACAGACACTGCTCACTGGCACTGAATCCAGGTCGGATGGTCTGACCTCCTGGAGTAGGAATCACTGAATAATTGCTGCAGTGCCGTATCAGCCAGGTGTTGTCTGGATTGGCCAGCAGGTTCTGAAGGACTGTGCTATTAGCACAGACTTTGGAGGTGAAGTTCTGTGGGTCGATCTCAGCACACAGAGCAAGATCAGTCATGTCCACGATGATGGGATGGGTCCAGTCAGAGTACTTGCACACCTAAATTACAGACAACATATGACAAAGACTGAAAATTATCACAAAACAAGCATCCTGAGTTTTTTTTTTTAATGAATAATGTCTTAATATGGATTGAAGTAGGTTATAGTGGGCATTAATTAAATTATTGGTAATGGGTTGTGGACCAACATAATCATAATAGTAAGCAACTGTTGGCTTTTATATAAGTAATAGTCTAATACAAACTAATGGTTTTGTAAATATCCATAAATGATGTTTGTTTGTTTGTTTGTTTGTTTGTTTTAGATGGAGATCTGCCTTCCTATAATCAGATGCAGACCAGATGTTTCTGAGCTGGTTTGGACAGCAATCTATCACTGAGAAAATGGAAACTGCTCATCACAACTTACAATTTCATATACCCTGAACTCTGTTAAATTGTTTATTTTAGTATAAACAAGATGTACAGGCTTCATTTACTGTTTCCAAGTCACAATACATTGCGTTAAAATTAACTGTAAAAAGCTGACTATTTTTATGGCTTATTATAAAGTATGCCAGACAACTTTTTGTGTTTTTGAAAACCTTTTCTGTACACATTAAACTAAATTAAAATAATTATTTTAATTTTGTTAAATGCTACCTTATAAGGTCCTCACCTGTGGCGTCACGGTTATTTGCTCCATGTCAGTGCAGACGGACGTGAGCCATTTGTTCAGAGGGTTTTCCAGAAGCTTTTCAAACACAGCTGCCTTGCAGCACACCTTCTCCTGAAAGGCAACCTGATCGTTCTGCCAACAGAGGCCGACGACTGAATCGTCTACCTGCTTCTCAGCCCAGTTGTGGTAGTCGCACCATGCTGCCAGGTTAAAGGACTGCATTGGCCCAGGGCTTGGAGAAATCATGGAGGTGCTGCAGTGGGACTCGAGCCACGCAATCTCTTTATTTTGCAGAAGGCTGTTCAGAAATGTTTTGTTCTGACAGACCTCTCTCGCGAATCCACTCTGATCAATGAGGATGCACTTTGATAAGATATCTGTGGTAATCTGCATCGCGTCATGCCACTCTGAGTACTGGCAGTAATCCGGCTGTAACTCAGGGTAGGTGAACGCTGGTGGTGAAGATGAGCCTGAACAGTTGGGCATCAGCGGCCAGTTGTCAGGATTGGAGATGAGAAGCATCAAGAGTCCAGTGTGCTCACAGATGAGACTGGTCAGTCTTGGAGCATCAAAGCTTAAGCACAACTGCAACAAGGCGGAGTCCACTAGCTGAGCAGGCTGGTTGAGCCACTGCTCATACAAGCAGAACTGACTCACCAGGTACATGGCGCCGGCAGAGGAGTGGGAACAAAATGCATACAGCCAACGGTTCTTCTGATCGGACAGCAATTTCTTAATCAGTGAAGCATTGCTACAGACCTGGTTCTCAAACTGCGTCTGGTCATTTTCACTGCAGAAAGTCACAAGAGCAGCATCTACAGTGCTGTTCACCCAGCTGTTGTAGTCACAGGCGAGCTGTCGGAGGCTTGAGGCCTCCCTGGCGACTCGACGGAGAGTGGGCTGCGCGACCCCAACAACACAGTCAGACGACTTGGTGATGAGCGGAGAAAACAGCGCCTGAAAAATATAACACACGTTGCTCCACACAAGCTCCAACTGCCTGCTGCTCAGGGAGCTGAGGGCCTGGCAAAATGTTATGAGGGACGATCCATTTCCGAAACCCATGAGGACATCAGAACACAGAGTCTCATTGAGAGCAGCCAGCTTGTGATGATCACACGAGACGTTGTAGTTGATGTAGGTGTTTGGCTGTGATGCGCTGCGCTGCAACAGGAGGCTGGAAGAAGTCTGGCACTTTGGTCCTGAATCTGAGGGCAGGAAGGTTTCCAGGAGGATATCAACAAGTGGAATGCCAAAAGACCAACTCACGTTGTGCTTTAGCCCCCTGAAAGAACACCCAATTATTAGTCATGTTGCTACAAAACAAACGAAAGCTACTTGAAACTTGCAGATTGATTAAGAGGTGCACTAGTGATGAACTGCTTTTCGCATTGTTACAGTTTTTAGTGTGAATTTGGTGACATCACCAACATTTTGAACATTTTTAAGAATCAAAAACGTGAATTTTTTGTGGTCTTGCTTTATATTTCAATTTGCAACCAAAAATGACCTTCATTTTAAAAGCAATCTCTTTTTTCCCAGGTAATGTTTTGTTAGCAGAGCCAGTGAATAGCTAATGACTCACCACATAATTAGCTGCTTGAGATCTCCTGCACAATAAAAGAATAGCAATAATTAGCCCAGATACACAGAAACCTTCGTGATGTAATTGTGTAAAGACATGCTTTACCTTGTTTGCAGGTGTCTTGTTCGTCCAGAGATGGGACCTCGATTCCAAACTCTAAAGCTATTCTGACATAGTCCAGTGATGTCTCAAGAAACAGAACTATGTAATGCAACACATTTGCCGCAAGAGAATCTAAAAGGCTGCTCAGAATTTTCTTCAAGTTCTCAGACAGCGTAAGGTTTGACAGCATATTAATGATCATCTGCTGGAAGCCACTGAATGCTGACATGACCGTGTCAGCATTCAGGAAGGTCCCAAAGAAGCTCCTCGTTTCTCCTTCAGTGGTCAGTGGAGCACATGTCTGAGATTTGAGCGAGGAGAAAAACGTCAGCAGCGGCTGGCCCATCTCCAGAGACACTGCCTTTGTTAGCTCTGCCATTAGCCCACAGTCCTGCCTCTCTGAGAGAAGGCAAACCAGGATTCTGGGCAGGTCATCAAAGAATCCCTCTCTCATCAGCGGTTGGAAAAGGCCGTTGAGGTTACTCAGGATGCTATAATACATGTTGAGGTTGAGGGGCTTCTCTGAGAAAGGGACGGCAAAGTTGCGTGTGTTTCCAGCAGAGAGGGAGTGGATTTCTTTAATAACTTTTTGGATGTCCTCCTCCAACTTGTTGTTCTCGGTGGGCGTCACGTTGGTTTGTCTCGCAGCTGATCTGGCTTGTGAACACACAAGCTTGACATTACATATCATCCCTGTTTAAATGAATAAGAAGATCAATAAATTCCTCAGAAGCATCACAATACAAAATTTATACACACAACAATTACATTAAGGTATATTTGAACTGAAAATTGTGTGACATAGTGTCTGAACCTCGATACTGTTCAAAAGTTTTAAACCACTCCCATTTCTCTATATTGTGCCTCCAAGGATCTAGACTTACTTTCAATCCATATACAATTAGGTATTTATTCTGTTTGGAATGTAAATGCATTTGGATCTGATTGGGTGTATGCAGCAAAGGATCAACACCTTTGCTGCTACGACAGCTACAGGAATAAATGCAGAGCCGACCTTGTTCCAGTGTTTTAACAGATCGGTTGCTTCTGTCGGTGTTAGTTTTGCCATCAAAATGTCCCCTGTACTACATGCAGCTTTGCACCACACATGCTGCAAAACCCCCCAAAATAATAGAAACAAAAAAAGGAAGAGTGCATGCTCGCTCTCAGCCTGTAACCAGTGCGCTCTTCTAACTCACTGATGGACTGAACTCAGGAACGGAGAATCGAGACAGAATGATGTGAATCAGGGCATGAAAACAGAAAATTCACCACTGAACAGTGAAAAATCAAGTGCGAGTGTCAGATTAGCTTAAACAAATGAAGACTATGAGCTACAGCAATTTAATGGCATAAGGGATTATTTCAGTTTTGAATGCAATAAAAACAGGAGGCACAGTAATAACATGAGAAAAATTAAAGATAATAAACCAAAATTAAAGCTGCAAGCAGCCTCGAACGGCCCTCGCAGCCAAGCGCCGCTCCGGCCTATTGCCACCGCGGGGTACTAGCAACCGTCGCCTCACGTCAGCCACCACAGAAGCTCTCACGCAGTTTTCAGCTCCTGCGCCCGCACAGCGGAAGCTGTTGCTCAGTTTCCATCAACGTTGACCACGTGCTAACACAGAAGTTGTTGCGCAGTTTCCACGCCCGTCCACCAGGCGGTACGCACTGATGCGTTCGGAGGCGCTCCTTGACGATGCAAAAAATGTGGTGCAGATTCATTGGTTTAGCGAGGAAATATAGCTGGCGGATTAATGTAGGACGCGCAGTGGAGCCAAAATATTTCAATGCTGTTGTTCTCTTTAGAGGTCAACAAAGGTCATACGTATCCAATTTGGCGTCAGTCGGAAGATCCACGTGTAATTTACAGCCGATCATATGCACATGGCGAAGTACTACAGTTGGTCATTTTTCATCATTTTCAGCTGTGTTTCTAAAGCACTCTATTTCATTGTTGGAGTAATTCTTACTCAGAGTGGCGAATTACTGAAATGGTTTGTAAGAAGTAAGAAAACGCTACATTTACTGCATGATTTAATTCAACAAAAATTATCTGAGACATTTCTATCCTTTTAGAAATTTCATGGAAACGCCCTCACAAAGTTTTCGCGCCCATCCGCCCATGGATCTGTCATTGGTGGAGGAACACTGACACCTACTGGTGAAATACTGATATTGTTCTTCATCCTGTTTATCTGCTGTTTCATTTGTGGAGCAATACTGACCCCAAGTGGCGAATTACTGAAATGGTTTATAAACACCAAAAATAGGATCAAAATCTGAACTTCAATCTAAAATGGCCGACTTCCTCTGGGGTTTAGACCATGGCTCCAAGAGACTTTTTTGTAAGTCCTGACATGGTACACACGTGTACAAAGTTTCGTAATTGTAGGCTAAAGCATGGCTTGGGGCTGATCATTTAAAATTTTCTAGGGGGCGCTATAGAGAAATTAGGCCACACCTTACAAATATTGTGATGGATTCCTGTCGGGGAGTGGATGAAGATCCATCCTTGTGAGTTTGGAGCAGCTGCGCCCAAAAATGTGGAATTGAGAGCCAAACGTATGGCGATGGCGTTCCAGGTCACTTCGTCACGCCGCCACGCCCAGCTGCTCCATCGAAGCTGGTCGGGGTTGGAATCCTCAACACACCAACATGTCTTCTGTGTCTGGGCACAGTTTCATGTTGATGAGGTCAAAGGGTCAGATAGCGACCATTCAGAGTAAAACATGACACTTCCTTTTCTCAGGGGGCGTGGCCTAAGTGATGTCATCATTCGACCATAGGGTATTGTAGGACACCCGATGATGATCAATCACAGTAACTTTGGTGCCTCTGTGAGTTTCTGTGTAGGAAATATAGCAGTTTATGTTTTTATGGCGAGTAGGTGAACTTTGACCCCTGCTAACCCCCTTTCAGCATTCTCAAAAACTCACCGTTTTGATAACTTCAGATGGGACATGCCTTATTAACGGACTGACCGAGTTTGAAGACGATCAATCAAAATCCCTAGGAGGAGTTCGATCAAATACGGAGGCTGTAAACGGCAAAAATGGGGTCAAAATCTGAACTTCAATCTAAAATGGCCGACTTCCTGTGGGGTTTAGACCATGGCTCCAAGAGACTTTTTTGTAAGTCCTGACATGGTACACATGTGTACAACGTTTCGTAATTGTAGGTTAAAGCATGGCTTGGGGCTGATCATTTAAAATTTTCTAGGGGGCGCTATAGAGAAATTAGGCCCTGCCCCACAAATATTGTGATGGATTCCTGTCGGGAGTTGATGGCGATCCATCCTTGTGAGTTTGGAGCAGCTGTGCCCGAAAATGTGGAATTGAGAGCCAAACGTATGGCGATGGCGTTACAGGTCACTTCGCCACGCCGCCACGCCCACCTGCTCCATCGAATCTGGTCGTGGTTGGAATCCTCAACACACCAACATGTCTTCTGTGTCTGGGCACAGTTTCATGTTGATGAGGTCAAAGGGGTCAGATAGCGACAGTCCACAGTAAAACATTACACTTCCTGTTTTCATGGGGCGTGGCCTAAGTGATGTCATCATTCGACCATAGGGTATTGTAGGAGACCCGATAATGATCAATCACAGAAACTTTGGTGCCTCTGTGAGTTTCTGTGTAGGAGATATAGCAGTTTATTTTTTTATGGCGAGTAGGTGAACTTTGACCCCTGCTAACCCCCCTTCAGCATACTCAAAAACTCACCGTTTTGATAACTTTAGATGGGACATGCCTTATGAACAGACTGACCGAGTTTGAAGCCGATCAATCAAAATCCCTAGGAGGAGTTCGATCAAATACCAAGGCTGTAAACGGCAAAAATGGCCTCAAAATTGGACCTTCAATCCAAAATGGCTGACTTCCTGTGATACTTGCACTATGACATTAATTGTAAATTTTGAGCATCTTGGGGAGCTCTACAAGTGTACCAAATTTCATGTCTCTAGGATAAAGTAAGTGAATAGCAAAGGGTCCTTTGAAAATTTGTAGGTGGCGCTATTGAGCCATTTCTTGTGGAATTTTTGCGATGACTTTAAAATACCTAAATTTTAAACAGGCTTAAGGCCTCCGCCAAGTTTGGTGAGTTTTTGAATATGATAAAGCCCCCAAAAAGCCAATTCATTTGGAGGGAGAATCATAATAATAATATAATTAAAGCTGCAAGCAGCCTCGAACGGCCCTCGCAGCCAAGCGCCGCTCCGGCCTATTGCCACCGCGGGGTACGAGCAACCGCCGCCTCACGCCAGCCACCACAGAAGCTCTCACGCAGTTTTCAGCTCCTCCGCCCGCACCGCGGAAGCTGTTGCTCAGATTCCATCAACGCTGGCCACGTGCTAACACAGAAGTTGTTGCGCAGTTTCCGCGCCCGTCCACCAGGCGGTACGCACTGATGCGTTCGGAGGCGCTCCTTGACGATGCAAAAAATGTGGTGCAGATTCATTGGTTTAGCGAGGAAATATAGCTGGCGGATTAATGTAGGACGCGCAGTGGAGTCAAAATATATTTCAATGCTGTTGTTCTCTTTAGAGGTCAACAAAGGTCATACGTATCCAATTTGGCGTCAGTCGGATGATCCACGTGTCATTTACAGCCGATCATATGCACATGGCGAAGTACTACAGTTCGTCATTGTTCATCATCTTCAGCTGTGTTTCTAAAGCACTCTATTTCATTGTTGGAGTAATACTTACTCAGAGTGGCGAATTACTGAAATGGTTTGTAAGAAGTAAGAAAACGCTACATTTACTGCATGATTTAATTCAACAAAAATTATCTGAGACATTTATATCCTTTTAGAAATGTCACGGCAACGCTCTCACAAAGTTTTCACGCTCATCCGCCCGTGGATTGGTGGAGGAACACTGACACCTACTGGCGAAATATTGATATTGTTCTTCATCCTGTTTATCTGCTGTTTCATTTGTGGAGCAATACTGACCCCAAGTGGCGAATTACTGAAATGGTTATAAACGCCAAAAATGGGGTCAAAATTTGAACTTCAATCTAAAATGGCCGACTTCCTGTGGGGTTTAGACCATGGCTCCAAGAGACTTTTTTGTAAGTCCTGACAAGGTACACATGTGTACAACGTTTCGTAATTGTAGGTTAAAGCATGGCTTGGGGCTGATCATTTAAAGATTTCTAGGGGGCGCTATAGAGAAATTAGGCCACGCCCACCAAATATTGTGATGGATTCCTGTCGGGGAGTGGATGAGGATCCATCCTTGTGAGTTTGGAGCAATTGGGCCCGAAAATGTGGAATTGAGAGCCAAACGTATGGCGATGGCGTTAGAGGTCACTTCGCCACGCCGCCACGCCCACCTACCCCATCGTAGCTGGTGGGGATTAGAATCCTCAATACACCAACATGTCTTCTGTGTCTGGGCACAGTTTCATGTTGATGAGGTCAAAGGGGTCAGATAGCGACCTTCCACAGTAAAACATTACACTTCCTGTTCTCATGGGGCGTGGCCTAAGTGATGTCATCATTCGACCATAGGGTATTGTAGGACACCCGATGATGATCAATCACAGAAACTTTGGTGCCTCTGTGAGTTTCTGTGTAGGAGATATAGCAGTTTATTTCTTTATGGGGAGTAGGTGAACTTTGACCCCTTCTAACCCCCCTTCAGCATACTCAAAAACTCACCGTTTTGATAACTTTAGATGGGACATGCCTTATGAACAGACTGACCGAGTTTGAAGCCGATCAATCGAAATCCCTAGGAGGAGTTCGATCAAATACGAAGGCTGTAAACGGCAAAAATGGGTCAAAATCCAAACTTCAATCCAAAATGGCTGACTTCCTGTGGGGTTTAGACAATGGCTCCAAGAGACTTTTTTGTAAGTCCTGACATGGTACACACGTGTACAAAGTTTCGTAATTGTAGGTTAAAGCATGGCTTGGGGCTGATCATTTAAAGTGTTCTAGGGGGCGCTATAGAGAAATTAGGCCACACCCACCAAATATTGTGATGGATTCCTGTCGGGGAGTGGATGAGGATCCATCTTTGTGAAATTGGAGCAGCAGGGCCCAAAAATGTGGAATTGAGAGCCAAACGTATGGCGATGGCGTTACAGGTCACTTCGCCACGCCGCTACGCCCACCTGCTCCATCGAAGGTGGTCGGGGTTGGAATCCTCAATACACCAACATGTTTTCTGTGTCTGGGCACAGTTTCATGTTGATGAGGTCAAAGGAGTCAGATAGCGACAGTTCACAGTAAAACATGACACTTCCTGTTCTAAGGGGGCGTGGCCTAAGTGATGTCATCATTCGACCATAGGGTATTGTAGGGCAGCTAATGATGATTAATTACAGTAACTTTGGTGCCTCTGTGAGTTTCTGTGTAGGAGATATAGCAATTTATTTTGTTAAGGCGAGTAGGTGAACTTTGACCCCTGCTAGCCCCCCTTCAGCATACTCAAAAACTCACCGTTTTGATAACTTTAGATGGGACATGCCTTATTAACAGACTGACCGAGTTTGAAGCCGGTCAATGGAAATCCCTAGGAGGAGTTCGATCAAATACGGAGGCTGTAAACGGCAAAAATGGGCTCAAAATTGGACCTTCAATCCAAAATGGCCGACTTCCTGTGATACTTGCACTATGACATTAATTGTAAATTTTGAGCATCTTGGGGAGCTCTATAAGTGTACCAAATTTCATGTCTCTACGATGAAGTAAGTGAATAGCAAAGGGTCCTTTGAAAATTTCTAGGTGGCGCCATAGAGCCATTTCTTGTGGAATTTTTGCGACGACTTTAAAATACGTAAATTTGAAACAGGCTTAAGGCCTCCGCCAAGTTTGGTGAGTTTTTGAATATGATAAAGCCCCCAAAAAGCCAATTCATTTGGAGGGAGAATAATAATAATAAGAAACAGTAGGAAAACAATAGGCCTTCGCAGCGCTTAGCTGCTCGGGCCTAATAAACAATAGGAAAACAATAGGCCTTCGCAGCGCTTAGCTGCTCGGGCCTAAAAAAAGGTAATCGCTAAACTAAGAAAATTAAATGGAAACACACAGAACAAAATGCAAGAATAAACAAAGAAACGAGATACAAAGAACAAACAGGTATGGCAAGACCTTTTGAGCAATAATTCTTCATAAATGAAGGGATAGAACCACTGAATATTATCAGTCTTCTATTTCCTTTTACTTCTAAAGGTGATCAGATCTTTACAGTCATGCAGAGAAGAAAAGAAATGGTATTGCAGTGAAAATTTTCTCACAACTGCAGTTTTTTCCTATAGTGACTGCATAACCAGCTCTAAAATAATGTATTCATACAAAAAATATACATTGAAAAAAGCACGAGACGCTGTCATATTTGTTTATGACTGCAACAAAAATCAAAGTATCTAGTTTTATTATTGTTTTTTACATGTGCCACATCTTTTCTCACTCATGCCGCTGCTGCAGAGGCCCTAAGATTTCTAGACTCGCTCCTGGTGTTAATAGGCAGGAATGAAGACAAACTACCTTTTCGTTCTAAAGAATCTTCTTTTGTAAAATGGACAGTGAAAAAGTTCTTAGCATCATTTTTTCAGGCGGCCAGAGAGTTTATTTAACTTACCAAATAGGATGAAAACCATACAAACTGCTGGTGAAGACCACATGTCGTCCTCAGAAGAAGGAAAGCAATAACTCCAGCTGAATTAAAGTTTCTTCAATTGTTTTTTGCGTTATCCTGTTACTACAGAGAAAACATCTGGCTGAGGCAGAACCGGGTGGAGAAGAGGTTTCATGCTGGATGAGGCTGTAAATGTCTCGGTGATGTGCATTGAGCTCCCCTCAGCGTTTGATGCCCATTTAGCAGATGATCCCTCTGTGTTCTGAGAAGAAACCGGCTCCTCTCCTCCACCTGCAACTCTGCACCCGATCGGACTGAGGCGTAATCAAAGACACCGGGAACTGGGAAACGGAGGTGAGAAATGAGGGCTGTGAAATGCAGGAGGGATGGGGGGGATTTTGACAACAAGCACATCAGTCGATGCTGCATTATTAACAGAGCGTGTGGATTAAACCTTCCGTCTGAAACCCGACTCCAGCCAGAGGGGTCAGAAGACACCGGGCTGACTACTGGAGGAGACGCCTGACAGGCCGCCGTGATCTGCGGCCTGTGACTCCTACTTACAAGCTGACCGGGAAGATGTTGACTGGCAGAGAAAGTGACAGAAAAAATATATAATGAGCAATTGTACGACTTTAATTTTTAACAAGACACGTCTATTTGTTCTCATTTCAACACCTGAGGTTTAAATGACATTTGCGCAGCTGCGTATACCTCTTTTAGACAAATCACAAGCGCAAACCTCAATGGTATTTTATGTGATGGAGCAACAGAGAAACATGGTTTCCAAAAAAACAAAGCAAAAAGAGAAAAAGAATCTGAGAAGTGCGGCAGACGTTTGTATTTAGTACCCAACTAAGTGCCAATACTTTCTAGAAGCATTGTTCACTTCATTTACATCTGCGAGTGTTTTGGGACATTTGAAAGGTTGTAATTTTTGTCCATTCTTGACTGCAATTAAATAATTTTGATTGAACTGTAAATTGTTTTGATTTTATGTATAATTCCAAGATATCCACTTGTTTCAAATATATAACTATATAGTTAAACATGGAAAACTCACAAAGAGAACCTGAAGTCTATAAACCTGTACATTCCAGACTTTGTATTAAGACCTAATTAAATTAGGCCTCAATACAAACATTAACCATTTGTATCAGAGTAACAAATGTAAAGATAATCTAAAAGAATCATTCTTATCCTGACTACTAACCCTCTGACTTGTCTGAAGAGCAGAGCAAGTGGAAAAGCTTGTTTTAAATATTCAATTAAAAACCAGAGGCTATTGTAATAACCACAGGGGGTAAAACAATTCATTCTGAGGTCAACTCCTAAAAATTTTAAATTAGGGCGAGTATTTTGAGCTCATTACCTGAATGTGATAGTAAATATAATCCAGACAGAGCAGGAATGAAAACCAAAGAAACGAGTGTTTTTTTTTTTTTTCATTTTAAAACTTTGTTTCAGAAATTCAATGTAACTGTATATACACTTTACAATAGCATACAGCCTGACGATAACAAAGATGTCTGAAAACATTAAATACATTGTCAGCACAAACAGCAATTGTTGCAAGTAAAATGGCTTAACGGATATTGGTAAAAAATAAAATAAAATCATTACAGGAGCACTCTTTTGCAGAAAAATGTCACGATTTCGATTTGTTTCATGACTTTCCCACAAAGCAAACTGTATTTTCTACATGCTAAGTTTAACCGTTCTTTGACAGTCCTAAACTAAAACACAGATATCCGTAAGGAAAAAAAAACAAAAACAAAAAAAAGAAACACCCCATCTGTTGTAAAGTTAAATCTTCATTAATACATTTATAGTAGATATGTCATGCCTTTTTAAAAAAAGAATCAAAAATACAAAAGATTTTCCTTATTTTAAGGATTTTTTTTTCATACAAGAAGCTGCATGTATTGTACAACACTCAGTGTACAATAAACTGGTAATGCACATAAAAATGAGCTGAATGAAAAGTCTCCAATGCCTCCCCTCTGATCCTTCAGAAAGGCAGCAACACAAAAATAGCACACCGTCAAACTGAGGAAACAAGCGAGCTGTAAAATGTCACGCACAGGAAGTGTGGCTTGCATAAAGATGGCAGTCAGGATTGGTGAAATTGAGAAAAGTCCAAGTGCATCTGAATATTTTCCTTACTTTTTTTTAAGTTCTTAAACATGTTTGTGCTGCCAGTTTCTTTTTCTTTTGTTATTTTTCAGTGACGAAGCCAAAGCACAATGCAGAATATTTGGAAAGATGTTTTTAAGCCTTCACCCCATGTGTAGTTTACATTCATAGTCAGAACATATTTACTCAAAACATTCTGATTAAACATCACTGTATCCCCCCCCCCTAAAAAAGGCAAATTCAGGCAACCAACTAAACAGATAGAAACAACTTCTGCGCTGAAAGATTTTAAGGTTTTGATTGGGAAATTTTACACATGGAGACAAGGTCAAACAACGCACACAGCACCCACCATCTGTGTTTCAATGTCTGCAGACCGAGAAGGTTTGATTGTCTCTCTTTGCTATTAACTTTGTGTTTTTGGACAATTGCACAATTATTGCCCAAAGAAGAAGCTTGGGAGAACAGAGATTGCATGGCACTGTACAGGCAACTAAACACACTCACATTTCACTTAATGCAAAATGCACAATAATTTCATCTGAACACAAACGAGAGAAGAAAAAAAAAAAAAAAAAAAAAAGCTGAACGATGAGCGCAAACTTTCCAGCAATCGACAGTGATTTTGGGGACCAACTGCCGTTTAGTTTTCTGCCGTCGCTAACGTGTTAAGTTTGGCCAAAAAGTTCAGACTGAAATGAGCTGAAAGAGAAAATAAAACATTATGTTGCCATTCTTGAATATTTTAATTATACTGGATAAATGTTTAATGGGGGGATTCAAATAAACTGGACGCTGCTGGTCTGAGATCTAGCATGAGCAGACGTGAACACTGGCAAATATGTGCTACATTTATCATGATGCTACTGATGGAGCCTTTAAATGAAAGAAATGAGTACAACTAAAGGAAAAGAGTACGGATTTTTAGCCAGAGCACTTGATTAAGAGGAAAATACAATACTGATTACAGTTAGATGACAAAGTAAAAGTTACTACTGATAAAACATGTTGAGACAATCTGAAAATGAATGCCCTCTAATTTTCACAATTTACAGCTAAGATTAGTCCCAATAATTAAGGAGTAATATGCCTGCGATAAGGCGATCACAACAATTTATCATGACTTCGATTGAGAGCAAAGCTTTAAATTCCCAGACTAATTTCAAGTTTAAGTCATAAGTGGACTGTTATGAATACACACCCATGATGGGTTTTTTTTTTTTTTAAAAAGGCTTCCACTAAAACTCACAGGACCCCTTCTAAAAATGCATCTTACAAATATAAGCAAAACATCTCAGAAATACTATCCTAACAAAAAGAAAACAATAAAAGACCGAGATTTACCGGGAAAAAAAACAAAACCAAAAACAGGAACCTACAATAGAAACTTGACAGAGCTACAGAGGAATGCATATTTGTTTTTAAAAGCTACAGATTGGAAATTTGCCCGCTCATCAGATCAGTGAGTGTGTGAATATACATGGATTGATTCACCGACCCAGAAGAACAAGGGAGAATAAAAAATAATAATATAAAAAAAAAAAAAAAAAGATCTGCAGAGTGTCATTTTGTCAGTGTCAACAGTGTGAGCACCAGGAAGGGCTGATGTGGCGTTCAGGGACTCAGGGAAGAGTTCCTCTTTATCTGTTCATATCCACTAAACCAGCACCAAGACTTCAGAGCTTAGAGTGGAGCTCATTTCTGGCTCCACAACTGGAGAGTCACATAAAAAGAGGAGTCTACATGAGTATGTTTATAATGTGTGTAATTTCCCTCTATGGATTTTTTTTTGTTGTTTTGTTTGCTTTTTTTTTTTTTAGAAAATTACACCTAGGTTAAAAAAAAATTCCATCTTTTTTCCCCCAAACCAACAAAAAAAAGCTTTTTTTTTTTTTTTTTAAAGTAATGGCAATGCTGTATTTTGTATTCCAAAGAGAGGCTTTTTACACACATGTTGATTTCAGTCTTATCCTGCTGCTTCGTTGTGACGCACCACAAGCTGGTTTCAATCAGGAGGCAAAAGGTCGTGAAGTCGGAACCTCTCCCGAACATGTGGCCGCACGTCTTCGTTCTGACACGTTCAGCAAGAAGGGAAACGGGTAAAAAAGAAGCGAGAGAAAAAAGGAGACAACATTAGAATTCATTTAGTCTTATTAATACATTTTAAAGATGGAAGGCGTTTATAATTACTTTGCCTACCCAACCCAGTGAACGTGACCCTGGAGTACAGCAATTTTAGTTTTAACAGACGCTATTCACAAACTGGCTAATAAAAAAAAAATAAAAAAAAAACTAAATTCATTTTCTCTGCAAATTTCAGAAAATTCAATAAGAAGAATATTTATTTAATACAATTTATGGGAAGACTGCTGACCTGACAGTGCTGCATCCAGGCATTTTAATGGAAAGTTGAGTCGATGGATAAAGTGTGATAGAAAAAAAGACCACATGCAAAGGGCTGAAGTCTGACGTTTCTAGGGGATTGCGAAGCAAAGCCTACATAAAGGTTTGGGGGACATTTAGAAAGCGCTGAGTCAGAGCTCATTGAAGCGATCTGGCACTGATGTGTCCAGAAGATGGCCTGTAATTGTGGCATTAGTTAAATTAAACCACTCCTAAACCAGAGACGACGACATAATTGTTATTCGAATTTCTGCAAGAAGAGCCGAGCCCAAACACTGAGAGCTTGTAGTGCAGACTTTTCAGTTGACTGACATTGCTCCACCAATAAACATGTTTAAGCCAATCGTAGGCATCAATTTCATTTTATTAGCTTAAAACCACAATCATCAAATTTGATTAAACACTTGAATTAAATACCTTTTTGGTTGTGAAATAAGTCTCTTAAACGCTACTTTCTATTTGAATAACTATAAAAAATGAGCAATTTAGTGAGCTATTGAGCCAAAGAAAGTGAAGAGCAGCCTAGCTTACCATCTCAACCAGCTTCTCCAGAAACGGGACCAGCTTTAGCAGCTCGTTGTCATTCTTATCCATGAACCAGCTCTCTATTGGTATCCCATTGGACAACTGTTCAGACAAAGGGGCAACTTGTGAGGATGGATCCATGCAAGTTTAGCTGACCTGAATTCTGGTGACCAAATATTCATTCATTCATTTTGTGCAGATAACAGATTGAAATTATGTAATTACATTTACTTTCAGGGAATTCATTTGAACATGGTGGAGTGTTGTGATTTTGTTAAGTCATCTTCACTGCTAAA